ATTTTCCTTGCTGCCTCTGTCAATATGAAGAAGCATTGGAAAGTTTTCATAATCACAAAAGGTTCAGGTTGACTTCTTTCTGGGATGGTAACTGAAAAGTTCTCTCAGATTTCTGCTGTTTTACATTTGTTCATGAGGGTGGAGCTCACCTAACGTCTCCCTTATTTCCTACATTTCTAACTTGCTCTAGGCCCCAGTCAGCCTGAGCAGAGATCCCTCTTCCTTTCTTCTAACCTTTCTACCTAGCCCTAGACTCCTCTTCCCACACCTACTTCCCAGTAGTTAGACCCACCAGGTAGTGCAGCCAGCAGGTAAAAGCTTCCCCTTCCCAAGTAGATCATCTGCATTTCTATGGACCCTCAGGGTGGGAGACAAAGGTCTTTACCCTTCACTGGAAATCTGGAATTCAGGCATTGAAATTTGCAAGAAAAGGGGCGCTTCTGTAGGAGAGAACTTTATTAACAAAATGAGTTAGGATTTTGAGGAGAAAGAGCACCATCTTCACAGTCCTTTGGGTTGTATTCAAAAGTCAGAACATTGGGGTGAAAAAATAGAGAAACTTGAGAAGTTCCCTTCAGACCGTTAGGTGAAAGAAAATGCTAACAGATGAAGATGGAAAAGCATAGAAGGGGGGTGTTTTTACAAAAGGTCAGATACTTAAGGCATGGGGGAAAATTAGGGGAAAGGATGTAACACAGGACCTAAGAGAAATTAAAATTAGCAAAGCAAAACCATAGGGGAGTAAAGATGATCATGTTTAGAAGCACAAGTGGAGTATGAGCTCAGAAGAGAAGGGTGGACACCCCTTCTCAGCCAGGACCGAAATGATGAAGTGCAAAAATTGTGACTGAGGTTTAGAAAAGTTAAATTGAGGAAGCTCATGGTGGATACCTCAGTCAAATATGAAGCAAATTCATATGCAGAACTGGAAGGAGACCAAGTACAGTGGGGGTTTAAGGAACAACAGAAAGAGGACAGGTTTGGGACAAGCATACTGGATAAATGTCCTGAATAATCACCCTACTGATGAGAAAAGGATTTTAGAGGATCAATGACTAGCATAAACTTTTAGTGGAACAAAATTTCTTAACCTTATCCAGCAATGCTTGGTAGTGCAGGAGCAAGTTAAAAAGAAAGCTTTCAAATGAGTATAACAATTATGAAGAAAAAAAAATGTTGCGTGAAAACATTTTAGGGGACATTATTCATGGTGGATTTTAGTAACATTTTAAATTACAAACATGAAATACACAATATCAAAAGCCTTTTCAAGCACATGACCTGAGAAAAATATAAAAAGAAAATATCAGAGTAAAAAAAAAAAAATCAATTGGTTCTTGTTTTCTTCTTTCCATGCTAGCCTAAGGCAAGAAAAAAGGAAATTTTTTTCTATCCATTAGACACATCTTCCTTTCATTCAGTATTATTAAATTTTTTAAAAACCAAATCATTGGTATCTTGTTAGTGTATCAGGGAATAAAAATTTTATACTAATCTGGCAAACCATAGAATAGAACTAAAATAAGAATGTACTCACAAAGCAAACTTATAAAAAATCTATATAAAGCAACCTATATTAATCTTAGTAAATGTTAACCCAGCTTGTTACTCTGACCTGATTTTTCCTCCCGAAACTAGAGCTTGCATGTTAGAAGTTTTTATTGTATACTTTACAGGGATCTGCAGTTTCAGTTCATGTGTGAACCTAAGGGGCAGCCTGACTATAAGATCCCCCCCCAGGAATTTAGCTGACAAAAAGTGAGGTGGCCTACTCAAGGATGCTGACCATAAAGATCCATATCAAGGCCTATGGGAAGATGTCCTGCACATCCTAGATGAAATCTTATATTAACCAGTAAAATAACTTTCTTGATTAAGTAACAAATAATGGACAATACTTCTCCAAGGGTCAGGAAACAGGATGTATGCCTTAAAACAAGGGCCTGGTTAGTCATGCCTGCCATAAACTGCTAACAGCCTTTTTTGAGCATATTGTAGAAACTGGCTGTTCTGGATCCTGCCTGGGACTGGGGTGGCTTGACCACAAGACTTTGGTTGACATTAAAGATCTATATAGGGACCAGTAAGAACATTGCCTGGCAGTCCACAGCCTCTACTCCCTGATTTCTTCGTTCTGCTTTCCCTCTCCTTCCTGAAAAAAACCTCTGCCAACCCTGAGATGTTAAGATGGTTTTTCCGGAAAGGAGTCTGCCATCTTCTCAGGTTAACAGAACTTGAATAAACCATTTTCCTTCTCAATAGTACCTGTCAAAGGAGTATGGCTTTTGTTGAGGCAGGTAGCTAAACCTGTGTTCAGATTCATTAGTACATTAAAATTCATAAAAATCTGCATTTTACTTTTCCTATTCTTCTATAAACAAATACCCCAAACCCTAGAAATCGAAAGCATGATGATCTAATTTCCATGATGGCAAAGCATGAGACAGCACTCCATGGCCCCTGGTGATTGAGTCCCAATTCAGGAAATGTTTAGGGGGGACACTCACATATTCTGCTGTTTTGTTCTGCAGTCTGACCTTGCATAGGATTGTCCACTAAGTTCAAATTTTACTACAAATTGTGAAAAATATTTTTCCAATCAAGGAACCACATTAATAATTCTTATCTATGTTTATAATCTTCAAATACGGTAAGATAAAAAAACAACAACAAAAACAAAGCATATTATCCAACTTAAAGTTCAGGACAGTAGTTAGATATATGTAGCTTGCACACACATTAATCTGTTTTTCTTAACAAAATATTGATGATTTCCATATTTTTCTCACAATATGGTCCCTCCAATTTGAGGGGCAGTAACATAAACATAGTCTTCTTACTAAAGAGATAAGTATAAAAATGGCAAAATCGCCATAAGGAACCTAAGAATATCAGTGGCTATTCAATAGAGCGATATAATGCTTGAAGGCCTAATATATTCATGAAGTCCCACTTTAATAGCCAGTATCTAAATATCAGTTCTTTACAAAAAATAAAATAAAAATTGGTATTGACAAATGAACACAAAGTAACTTTAAATGAAAGCTTGTTATTAAAATACAAGATTTTTATGTGTACTGATTCCATGGCGCAGTGTTCCTTATCAAATTTAGGTAAACTGGAAAGTACCATCCAGTTTAATCTACTGTAATCTATTAAACCCCATCCACTGTAATCTATTTCCTTTACTCTCTTGTGCAATCATTAGAAGCAAGGATTTACTCTGTCATCCGTGTCTTTCCCCACCCTATAACCTTTTAAGGGAAAGAGCAAACACCTGTTAAGCTCAGGATGCAGAACGCACACACAGATGGGTGTTTAATAAATATCTTTCAGCAGAGAGATTAGAGGTTTGCTTTGGGAAGCAGGGAACACATTATCTTAAGTGTTGAGCTGATGACATCCACTATATAATATCTCAGCCTGTTTCCTTACCAAAACATCACTCAGAGGAAATCCTTTCTGAGTATCCTTCAGGTAGGGCTATGAGTTTGGAGACCCCAAAATTTGAGGCAAGATCCGCCCCAGGGAAGCGGGAGTTGGGAGGAACAAGTAAAATTCAGCAGTTTCAGTGACGTCAGGAAACAGCGATTTAAGGGACCGAGCAAACTCACCTGGAGAGGCAGAGGCTGCACACATGTCAAAGGTCAAAGGGCATAGCCTCCAGGGCTCCTCAGCCGCGGGAAAAGTGAAAAAGCCCACTCCTAGGCTCTCACATTCAAGTATTTGCTTAGGGGCTCAGATGTTCCTGCCTTTGACGCCAGGGGACAAACCCTACCTTTCACAGCTGGAGCTGACCGGAAAGCAAAGCAAAAGCTGCGCCAGATTTCAGAGCCAGCTGCGGGGAACCCCCCGGCTCGTCTTTCCCCCACCGCCTCCCGCGCCCAGAGCTACGGACCCCTTCAGCCTCGCTCGCCGCCTTCCCCAGGCCCTCTCTCGCTTAACAGCATCGGTTTCTATGGCGACCTGAAACCGCAGTTCCCATTGGCCCGTTCAATATGAGGGCCGGGCCAATGGGGAGGGCCAGCCTTCTCTTTCCGACCAATGGGGTTGGCGGGGAGCAGGTCCGGAGACGGCGGCGTGCTGACGTTCCCGGGAGTCCGGGGCTG